AAAGTTGGAAAACATTTCGATGCTTGTTACTTATTCAAAAGTATAAGAAATTTAAAAGTTTTCACAAGTCTTCATTCTTACCTTACCTAAATTTCACGCTTTAAGCTGCTTTGAATTCGTCTGGCGGGAAATGCACATCAAATCTGTTAACGGACCAGCTGCGTGATGTGAATATATAAAGTCCTACAGGTTGTATAAGCTTAAGCTTAAGGGTTGAAAACAATTTGCAGGGTTTTCGAATTTAAATTCATTATCATAAATTAAAATACAGTTAATTATTAACTCAAGAACTCAACTGTATAATTAGCCAATAATTACAGCCTTATATGATTATTGTTTTTTTTTCGGCACAGACTTGTAAGAAATGCGTAAAAAGTGTAGAGGAAAAGTGCAGACAGAAAATGGCTACTGAAAACTCATGGCATGCTAAAGGCATTGACATGTTTTTAATTAAAATTGCATGTTGTTCAGCTCAGTTGCAGTCCTTCCTCTTCATTTGTCACTTGTTACACACTGATAAGCTCTCTTCTCGTTGCTGTATTTTTCTGCCCCAAGGCAAATGCAATTTGATGGCCTTCATGTAGTGCAATTAATCAACACAATCGATCTGTCTGTGCACATTTGTTTACTCACAAAAACTTTTATTAGCGGTTGCTTTGATGGCTGATTGACAGCAATTGCCATCCAGGAGAGCGAAAATTATATAAATTGTGCCAGGATGTGCCGAATGTAATGCAACAACAACAACTCAGTTCAATGTGAATTTAAACTGGATTTTTACAAGTACGTTTTCCATTTTACATTGCAATTTACTTGATTTATAGTTTTATTCTTGCTAGTGTGAATTTATGTGTACAAACATCTGTAATTCGTATTATACTTGAAAGTATCGTTTTGTGTTTGGTGTCACATTCAATTTCAACCAGCAGCATAACACATTATTTATACATTGTACATATGTAGTAAATTGAAAATTTAAATGTTGAGCAATAAAGGGACACGACGTGAGATAAATGCAATTACAAAAAACATTTGTAACCATTAAAACGTAATTTTGTATACTTTATGGCGTTGCTCTCTGGGGCCATTAAACTCATTACAAATTGACACTGGCCAACTGGTTGTCGTAGATGAATATTATGCGGCCATTATGAGTGCTCTACACTCTCCACTCCTCCTCAATTTCAATTTATCTCAGCTGCTGATGTGATTAATATTCCTCTTAGGCCACGTTGTCAATTGGTGCTACAAACAGAACTGAGTTGAGGTGAGCGTTAATCAAATGTCAATGTCGACGAGGATTTCAAAATGGATTCGCTTCTTTGACTTCTTTGAAGAGCAACCAAACAAGATTAGCTGGCGTGATGTCAATTTGCGCTTCAGCTTTTTCTTTTTGAGCGACAATTTGTTTTCAGGAAGCCATGCACAAAAACACTCGGGTTTTCTAGTCCTTTTCTGCAAATGGCTTATCCTTGCCTCATCATTTACTCAATTTGTCTCAATGCCCTCTTTTTGTGGCGTCTTCAAGACCCTTTTCATGGCTGCAGCAACCTTAAGTGTTTTGCCGTTCAGTATTTGCATTTCTTATGTTTTTTTATCTTTCGTTATTAAATATATATATATATGATATAGTGACAAATTTTTAATATATATATACATATACAAAATACATATATATTTTTATATATATATACATATTCCACTCAACTCTCTCTATAAGCTGTTTAATTTATTTTATACTTGCTTAAGCAGAAGATATATGAAATACTAGAAAACTATACTGTAGTAAACTGAAAGAACTTATTTTCCGTTTGAGTTAACCAATTAGTGCTTAAATGGCTTTTGCCTTTTCCAAAAACAAAGTTCGATTAAAGAAAGTCCATCGGCTTGTTATTAATTGATAAGTATTTAGACAACTGCTGTCAATGTCCTTGTAACATTGTAGTCTTGGCACATGCCACGAAAGAATGTCCTGTTGTGCTGTAACATAAACAAAATAAGGACATGCTGGTTGTGGTCAACTTTTGATAGAGTCGAAGAGAAAGTCTACATGAACCAACAATCAAATTCTTTTTGTTGAGATGGTCACGTAGAGTTTTGCCCTAACCAAAATCGAGGTAAAGAAAAAATACATGGGAAAGTTTAAGGCACAACATTAAGTCAATAGCGTCGTGTACAAATTATTTGGTAAGTCTGATAATATGTCATATTATAAATAATTAATATTATTTATAGCTACATTTTTAAGTTTCGCAATAGTTTTTGGTAACTCAAAAAGAAAGATATTTTGCAAAAATTATTTAATTACACTGGCTGAAAACTAATGAACTTTTTTGTAAAGTTTTAAGATCATTTTTGGAATGGTTTTTAGTATTAAATATTATAATTTATTTTACAGCGAGCTTTGAAGCACTGTAAAAAAATATTTTTTGATGTACCCTTTTCATGTAGGCTAGTGTTATGTTACCTGTCTGTTCAATTTCCAAGCTGCGCACCTTATTGATGGACACTCTGCAGCTCAATTATGTTCTGGTGGGCATTTTACTCGATGTGTACGATGGTTCCATTTGAACTTTCAGTCTCAATTCGTTTCAATTTAATTGCTCTAAAAGCCCTTCGTATCCCTTGCTCAGTTTACTGATTGCAGTCGAGTGCAGTAAAGTTTAATTGCTACAAAGTGTTGGGGAAGCTTACATTTCGTTGCGAAAGTATCTGGAAAGTGCAGGATTTTGGACATCATAAAAAGCAACAGCGAATAACTGTTTCGTTGTATTTTTCAACTAAAAGATAATTCACTCATAATTTATTCCATAAATTTAAATGCAGAGCACCAACTAAAGATAAAGACCTCATTAGAACATTCACCAATAAAGCAAAATAGTTCATAAAATCCATATTATTTATGTAATCCGTTCAAACATTGTTCATCTTCATTAAATATGCTGTTTTGGGCAAAATCTTAATCTTAGAATGCTAAATGAGGGCACTGATATGTAATAAATTTTCTTAGCTTTAATCAAATTTAACTTGAGTCGTAAATTAAATATTCATTAGAGCAGCAGCATTACATTTGAAACTACAACTTTTCAAATTAACTGATTAATAACCGAATTTTGAGTAAACATCTCACATTAAATATTGGAAGAAAAAAATAGTTACTGTTCGAATAGAGCTGTAAAATAAAATAAATGGCATTTCACAAAGAACAATTTTGATTTTTTCAAAATGAAGTTGACTTATATTTCGTAAATTATTATGTTCAAAGACAATTATTATACAAAATAAATAATGAAAAGTAAAACTGCAATTTGCTTTTTGGATTGATAGTTTTTTTATTTTTTTTATTTATTTTCCCAACTTGCTCAGCTTATCGGATTCCAATTTGTTTGATTTTATTTTGCAACAATTGTGAATTTTTTGTACGGAGTTCTAAATTCAATTGCTGTTGTTTCAACATATTTTTCTTCCTAAACTTAGCCAAAATCCAATTCAATATTCAATATGTATATTTGTGAAAATAAAAATGTGGTTTTTATTGTAGTTTAATATTCATTTTAAGCAATGCACAATGCAGAAAAAGAACTCTTTAACATTGGAGTGGGTAAAAAGTCAATTGCTGTGAGATAAATCTAATAACTGTCAAATTTATGTAGATTAAATTCGAAAAGAATAATCATAATTTTTTATTACACACTTTTCAAAATATTTTACAGACACAGTAAAGTATCGATATATTCATTTATTGTTCAATAAAAATTCTTTAAATTCTATCAAATACGGTTTTATTTTAGAAAGTGTCTGATAACTTTAAAGGTATAACCTACATTGAAAAGTGTTTGTGTCTTGTTATTTTCTTCTGAATTTTTTCTTTCTGTTTTGCTTGGCAAAACTTTTCAGTGGATAACTTTCTGTTTTTGGGTAGTAACAAAACTTTTATTATAAACAACAAATGGAGAAAGTGAGAAATATATTTCTTGTGGAAATGACAGTTTAAACTTATTTTAAAGAGTGAAAAATTCGTTAACGAAAAATATGAAATTTATAGTTGATGATAGGTATAACAACCTGTATCTGAAATACATTTTATTTTCCAAAGTTTAAATTGGCATCTGCAGATACTATATAGCTTCTCTGAAATGAAATAAATTATGCATATATACCCGCAGGTGAAAGACAAGTAAGCATATCCTTTCCCGATATCCTTCTTGTCTATCTGTTCCTGCTTATCCAGCCCACACCACGAATTCAATACAATACACCATGTTTTATTTTAAAATAAATATATATAAATTTATTACATTTATTTTTAAGCAATTGAAGAGAAGTTATGTCAGAAATAGAAGAGAATAAGAAAGAGGAATAGGAAGAGGAAAAGAAGGAAGAGTAAAATATATTGAGAATATGCAAAATATAAAGATATATTAACATTATAAATATGAAGTAAATTGAATACAATCTATGACGCAAAGCTGACGCAGTGATATAAATATGCCGAAGATAAGGACCTTTTAGGATTGTCGAAATTGTGGGACCACCCGTGCTGACACAATATAACCATAGAAAATAAATATATATAGAGTTCGAAGCAGAACCCCAAACGGAAAACATCAAAACTTATTTCTTAAATGTCTTTGATGTAATTAATTCCAATAATTTCAGTAACTTCGAACCAATGTTTGATTTCGATTGACTCCGGTCTACAAGGGTGTGTAAAATTCGTCGTGTCTAAGATATCCATTATTTCTTGTATTGCAATAGATAGAACGGATTTCTGTCTAAGTAATATAAGAATATGTTTTTAACTGATTAAACACTGGCAACACAGACATAATTCTGAGTTTCCGATTGCAATTGCAATAATAATAGTTTATTAATAAAACGGAGAATTCAGCTGCTGTTGCACGGCAACATCTGCTTTTAAAGTATATGAAAACGATGCAGACTATAAAAGGAGGGAAACGAAAGTTTTTAGTCAGTAGATCGACAGTGATAAATGGATAAGCGCAAGTCTATCAGCATTTTCCTTTTGTTACTGAACATCTGGCTACTTCCCTTTGTGATTGGGAAAAGAAACAGTACTCTTAAAAATCTAGATGTGAAAGGAAACAATACTTTAGGAAAAATTCAAAATTTGAAAAGGAATAGTACTTTTGCAAAGCTTGATTTAACACTAAATAGAAAACAGTTGCTGGGTAGACAACAACTAATGAAAGATTTAGTAATGAGTCCCACGGAAAATTTAGATTTGGTAGGCTCTACTGCATAAGGCATTCAACGATGTTTTTAATATGCATTCTCCTCATCCAATAATTTACAGATCAATCACATGGAATTTAAGAAGAATTGCAGTGGAATTGGTATGCCATGTCAAGTCGCCGAGGATTGTTGCACTTTTCTGTGCCTAATCCGCTTCAAAGAGTGTGTATTTTAACTTGAAAATAAATAAAATAACAACTGTTAACAGCACCTGTTGTGAAAATTAATCTGTTAACTATTAATGATGTATTTGTTTTTCTTTCTTACCTGCGCAGCTTTTATATTATTAAAACATTATTAAACGGCAAGTCTACTTTAACTTAGGAAACATTTTTGAATAGTTTTTATCCTGGTTTGGCAAATGAAAATGTATTAGATATTATGTGAACTGTTGCAGTATCGATTAGTTAAACATCGATTACTAAAGTGTCAATTGATTTCTTCTTTTTTTATATAGCATTTATATTTCAAACATTAATCAAAGAACTGAAAGGTTATAAAACATTAATTTGTCAATTTGTCACCAATAATGACAGCAGCTAAAATCTATAACATAAACATAAGGATGGGTTTAACAGATAATACATAACATTAAATATTACAATTGTTGCTCATTAATTTAAAAAACATTAAATGCTGTCATGCCGCCTGACAGCTTTATGCTCAAATGCTGTCGGGGTGGTACTGTCAAAGTGATGCCAAATGGTATTGATCCGTACAGGGTAATCCAAAGGTTGTTTACGGATAAGGGAATCCCGTTTCATTCGTATCAACTAAAGGAGGGTAGAGGTTTCCGGTGATCAGGGGACTGCATCCATCGTTGCAGAACATTGAATGTCTCAGAGATGAGTTAGCTAGACTCGGGCACGCAGTGCGTGGTGTCCAAACCATTGTAAGCTGCATTAGCAAGAAGGAATCTCTGTTTTTTAGATTTAATTTTATTTATATTTAAATATCGATAACATATGTAAAATTCGACACAGAAAAGAAGTCGTTGCAATTGTGTTCCGCAAAGAAATAGAATTATAACAATTGTAATTAAAATATAGATGATTGAAATTGTTTGTATGTTTTTGGAGCCCATTATGCATACATGAATGTATATGTACATATCTCAAATTCTAGGTAAGATTGCCATGAGGCAAATGCACATTTATTAAATTGTCATGTTCAGACACAGTTGATGATCCCGTGGATCACTCCATCCTCCATTACGTTTGGTGTTCTTCGGCTTCTTGATTACATATTCGTTGTTATCCAGAACTCTTGATTACATATTCGTTGTTATCCAGAACTGATTTACTTATTGTGAGAAATGGCGGATAGAGCTGGTCAGATTTTAATGCAGAATGAAGTATATACTTCACTTTCTGGAGAACTAAATTGGACTCGCAATCGGATTTGTTTTGATGAATGCCACTGCATGAAAATAAATCAGAATTACCAGCGATTGCTAAGAACAACCTCCGATGAACTTACCACTTGCCAATGTGAAAGGCGCGTGGTCCCCTGACTACCATCACAATAAGCTGGCTCTCCATACACCGCTCCGATATGTGCTCCAGAGACCAGTCCCAATTGTAGTCATCGTATGTGCAAAAGAGTTGGGCACACTTTCGTATATTCGACCAGGTTGTGCGGTTAAAAGCCAAGCCCATATTGTGGCTTCCGCCTTGCCAGGGCATACACTTAGCCTGTCAAAAGAAATGCACCAATTGAAATTCAAAGCAAGTAAAAGAAGAGTTATATAATTGACAAAACCCTCATTCACGGGGCTCACATCACCCCTTTCAAATCACACCTTTCAGTTGTATGTGGAATGTGTAAATGTTGCCTTATAATTTCCAAGACAAAAGACATTGCAGTTCGGGCACAAATTTGTACTGTCTTTCACCATTACCTCCAAAACGTGTAAAAAGTCTTCAGCCATATAGTGATCTTCCTCCAGAAACAAAAACATACCTAAAACCGAAAAAACTTCAATTAAACAATACCAAATTTTGCTAGAATTAGCAAGAACGAACCATTGTGATATTTTGTTACTTTGAGTTCATTGAATACCTGATTCGCTTTCCACCACCAGTGGTGCTTTATCTGAGTGAATTTCGCTTCTCTGTAGTGACCATAGAGATCTGGATATAATGCACTATTGCAGTTGCTGATGACAGCCCTAAGATATATTAAATAAACTCATAGCTCTTCGAATTTGTGATTGCATTTTGAAACTCACTTTTCTTTTGAAATGTTCCTAGGACAGTCGTTGCGATGGTTACCAGGAAACTCATCTGGATATATTTGTGTAGAGTATGGATAGAATATCTGAATTACCTTACAAAAATCAATGTTCTGTACAAGCTCGTTGATATCTTCATCGTAGTAATCGTGCGAGAAGACAAGCAATGCCTGCGAAATACCCCAAGCTTTGGATAGGCTACTTATTAAATGCTTTAAGTAATTTATACGTCTGTGCACCTGCGCAGGTGAGAATTAGTAATTAGTGCTTTTAGTAAAAATTACCGACTGGCTAAGAATATTCACCTGAATAACAATTATCACGGTATCTTTTTCTATGGGACCGAAATTCATTTCGTTTAGGACCAGCTGCTCATTGTTTTGAAATTTGATCCGATGCTTGACTTTCGAGAGTGTAAAATTAAGATCCACGGCTAATACAAAATAGTTGATAAATATATATATACATATATATTACAAATTGGACTCACTTGTATTCGCTTTCTTGCTCAGATGTAGATGTAGATGCTTGTAATCTCTCTGCGGTTCCTTGGTAAATGATTTATTCGTCGGTGGTTGACTTGGTAAGGCGCCGGTGTTTTTTACTAACCAGTTGTAAGTATTTAAAAGTGAGAACGGTAAAAGGATCAAATTCATACTTACATAAGCTCAACTTGAAATACTGCACTAGAATAAACATAAACAGGAAGAGCACAAAAATGCTGCGAATATAAAACCGGGCGGATTTTCTAATCATGTCTTAAATGATTGGCAATCATTTAGACTGTGAACAAATTCGGCATTCGGCAATGATTACTATGATGTGTGACATAGTTGTGACATGTGTCGTTTGTGAAATACATATACCACTCTCCATGCCAATTGTATAAGGGTAAATTAGTGTATAAAATTGATTTAACACACATATTCCAACCATAAGTTTTTGCAATCATGCCATAAATTTGCATTAAGTAGTTTACTGGACAACGTTCACGCGCTTTTAACAGCTTTAAATAAATTGTACAACAGTTAAATAACTATAACTATAAATAATATTTAAGATATGCGTAAATAGTAATACAGTTAAACAGAACTATAAATAAGATATAAAATAAGCGTGACAACAGACGCTTGAAGCGCAGAGCATCAGCCTCTCGTATTTATTAATTTACTTAAATGTGTGTAAATATGAAAGGAGGACGAAATCACTCTTAAAGCCATCATTCTCCTGTCTAAAGACATTTTTCTGGTCAGAAGCAGCAGCTGCCTGAGGGTAGTCAAGTTATTTCAAAGCGTCGTTTACTTTGGGACTGCTTTGATGTATACGTAATATTGACCTTAGGGCAGCAACTGTAGCTAAATGAGTTGAATGGCAACTTTATTTGACAACTTACCCTGTACCCGTATCTGCAATGTTAGACATGCATACATTTAAATTTTTGAACAATAATGCTTAGTTTTATGTTGCACAATGATTTTCCACAAATACTATATATATTTTGCATCGTGTGTTGCAAGTTATATTGAACAATAAATTTAAAATAGGAGAAGTTGTTGAATAAAATGCTTCATTGCTAAAAAGCTGTAACGTATTTGTAACTACGTTTTGGTTATTTGTTTTATATCATCAAAGACTTAAATTAATGTATTGAAAACATATGTTGAAATTTGTAAGTAGTTTGTTGCCAATGTTATTGTTGTAAGTGCATGTCGATTATTTATTAGTAGCCATTTTGTTGAGTTGAGCTGACAGGTTTTATTTATTGTTACTCGCATGCCGTTTATTATTCGTACAAATTAATTGCCATGTGGCGAGTATAAGTGAATTCGCTCGTTAAATTGCAGCAGCAAAGCTACAAAAACAGTACACGGTAAGAAATTCTGTTTTAAATACGCTATCATTTTGCCTGATATCTAAGCCATTCCAGAACGAGTATATTGGTTTTGTAGAGCGAGTACCCAATTTAAATCAAGTATTAGTTCCTGACAGTGGCATTGTGCGGAAATGTACATGACCTGCTGCGTCAGCTCTTCCGGAGCTGAATGGAAATGGGAATCCTTAAAAGAAGAAAAAGAATACCAGTAGTGTCAACTGAGAAGTGGGATTTATGGAATATATATGAATATATGGAATGTATATATGGAATATAAGTGGATATATTTTCCGCAGAAGCTTGTCTTATGTTTATAAATGTTACACGCTCCACTTGGCTGGATTAGTCTCGCTTATTTTGCTCAAGTGACTGCGGCACACTCTGCGTATGAGCTATTTATTATTTAGCACTTTGCCTTTTTGACAGAATGCCGACCGAAATTGCAGCAATTTATGAACCTGCATAAGTTTTTAGTTTCTCACAACAAGCGTGTACTACATTTTTATTTCAGAAATGACGTACCCACAACAAACTACCAGCAATATACATTTGCAGCTAAGGACGACAGCTTGTACTTTCTAAAAAAAACTATCATATTTTTGTTATTATTATATTACGCAGGACAAGGTCATTTCTCGATGCCACCTTTAAGCTGCAAGAGACTCACATCGACTGCTTTGTGTCCCAGTTTACTCAGTCAACTTTTCAAGCTTTCACTTTTGGGCCCCGGTGCTCCAGTTCTCGGCGCATTCATTCAAACACGTATTTATTGTGCATTCATGCGTTTCATGACCCACTGCCGGGCCACTTTTGACTTTCCACTACAGCCAGTGCGTATCCTGCCCCACGCAACTGACCAAATGGCCCTTCCCCACTTGTTAACCTTACCAGTGGCCATTCGAGCACAATTACCGCTAAGCATATTTACATATATACGAGTATAAGGGGTCATGGTTACATAATTTTACGTTCCAACTGGTCTGCTGTGGTCTGCTCCGAGAGTGAAAATAACATTTCCATAACTTTTGAGACTCCTTTTGTGTTGGCAATGCCATTCAAGCTCCGAGCTACTTTTTCTATTGTACTGCAAATGCTGTCAGTACCTCTTGGCTTAAAGGCAAAATGACACTCAGAATTAAAAGACAAGGCAAACAAGGATACGCTTTTAACTGACATAAATTATAGCGCCTATGACAATGGAGAAAATCTTTGAAAATGTATTAAAAATGTGTTTATTTACAATATCCAAAAGCAAATCCACTATTAAAAGTAAAAAAGGATAATTCATTTTGCATACTGAATAAAATACTTTATTGAAAATTCAAAACAAAATTAGATTACTGCAGATCTTGGTATCAGTAGAGAATAAGATGGTCAATGGCAATTCACTTCGATAATTTGTGAAAATGATTGAAATAGAAGTGCGAACAATAAGCTTCATTTACAATCTTCAGGAGCGCTAACAAAGTATTAGAAAAGAAAAACTCTTTAAAGATTTTTATCTAGTCCTTTTTTGTGTAGTTTAAGCAGCAGTTGGGCTTATTTATGTGGGCTGCAGGCATAATTCAGTGGCCGTAGTCTCTGCTACTTTTTTGGGGCTCGACATTAGCCCAAAGAGTTAGGCAATCCTGTTATGTGGCTTTTAGCCCTTCATTTCAGTAATTTTAGGTGTCGGAATTAATGGGGAGCAACTTTTATTTATTTGTTAAATTATAAAATAATGCTGCTTGTGCTTGAGCCTTAAAGCCTTAAGCTAAGACTTGGTCACTTTAATTTGCTTATTGTTTAAACTTTATACTACATAAGATTAAATTTATAAACATTTTGAGGCTTGCTTCTTGTTGTCTAAAAATATTCAAAGTCCTGCGAACTAAAGTATTTTTAAAAAGGATTCCTAATTCAATGAGTGGGCAACAATGCTTGAGCTTTGTCGGCGAAGTATTTAATCAAGCTCTTTGTGATTTGCAAACAGGGGAACAGCGAAAAAATGTTGCGCTTGAATAACGCAAAAGTAAATTGCAAATTGTCGAGTCAAATAAATGGAATAATTAATTATTTTCGATTCTGGATCTGAGCTACACGCATGCATAATTTTACATATTGTATATAAATCTTATTGTTAGTATTGTAAATAAACGTGTTTAATCATTTTTATATTGTTCAGTATTTTAGGGCTTTTTGATGGAAACAGGACCTAATTTGCGATGAGAACAAAATACAAGGTATTTGTATATGTATGCATATCCGGAGCTCACTATTTGGCTTTGGTTTATATTACCGCGCACGTTTTTAACATAAATTGCTCAAATTGGGATCAATATGCACACTTTTATTCGTCAAGCTAACCAGATAAAATTCGAACGATACAAAAATGCAAAGCTAGCAATCTGCTTTCTCTTTTTCTGAGCCACATTTGCGGCATAAGCATAATCAATGGCTTGAAACTGAAACGGATTCAGGAGGTTTTTTACATTTCTGCATCATTAAGTAGCTGAGCATGTCGAGAATATGCTAATAACTGGGTAAAGTGATACACATGAGCCTGCAAATACTCAGCAGGATGCGATGTTAAGCATACGCCATGTTGTGTTTCACTGTTTATGTGTGTGCGTGTTTGTGTGTGAAGTCTTTTTTGTGTATTTTGTAAGACAATGCCAAATCACTAGAGCGCTGCGGTCTCATACGCCGCATTAAGGGAGAGAGCGTTTAAATCTGCATCTATCTTGTGCAGCCGGGATTTTCTTTTCCAGCACCGGCTTAAAGGAATATAAGTTTAAAATACGTGAGAAAAACTAAAAGAATGCAAATCAAAATGCGACAATTATTGTAAAACCTACAACCGTAGAGTACCTAAATATTACCCATTAAATACAAATATTATTGATTTACAGTCGAATGTGACTGTTCACGTATCTAATATATTAAGTGAAGAGTTTCAAAAGTTTCAAAATGCTGCATTTTAGAATATTATGTCATGATAAAATTCAACCACAACCAAGTTAAATACCCCAACACTTATAACTTTGTAGATGCAATTCGATGAATGATGACTTGCAAATTGAGGACTGCCATTCAGTTAAAATGCTTCGTTTGAACTGTAAATATTTATTAAAAACTGCATTCTTGTCAAGTGCAGCTGTCCACCAGTTGCTCGTTAGGATATTTCAATATAAAATATAATGCACGGCAAAAGCAGCAAAAAGGTGAGTCTTATTAATGGCATCGACTCTGTAGAGCAAATTTTGTTATTAACATTTGGAGAGCAAACAAATTAATTGCAGCGAAATTGAAAAGCTGACGTCGTTTTTTATTCAGACAGCTTGCTGTGTCGATAAGTTATTTGTTTGCGCTATTGATTGCTTAAAATTCGCAATATTTTTAATTACTTGCTCTATTGACAAACCGCTAGGTCGGAAAAAAGATTTATTTTACACATATACAAATATATATGTATAAAGATTTCCTTGGTAGAACAATTGCTAAATAAATAGATTCATTGCAACATTTTCAGTAAATATTTGAGTAGACACAAATGCTATTGGCATGAATTAAAACTTGAGATCGTCTTTTACATTTCAATTGCCAAATTGAAGAAATTACAAAAATTGGCCTTTGGCTAACTTTTGGTGTGTACTTCAAGCGTTTAATTTTGTAGCCTGCTGACAGAAAATGGACAGATAATTCGCCAACCATTTTACCAACTGAGCAAGTACAATGCAGGACTCTAATTCGTAACTGCTGTCATTGAGAGCTATGTTTTGTTTTAGTAAACCCACACAACATGACCATACTCAACAAGAATTCACATACCTTGACCACAAACATCCCCTCAGCCGAACTGTGCCAATTAGCACGGTTTATGGCCCAGACATGAACTTGTCAACGTGCTTGCAATTCTCGAATTGCCAACAGCTCTC